GAGGGAAAAAAGGAAGAGTTACAATGCAACAACATCCCTATGGGATCCAGAGTAAAATACCACATCAGGTCAAAAGATAAGTCTTCTGAATCAGGATGAATCCTACTGTATAAAAGCAGCATACTATTTGAGAAGCAACCATATATGAATCTAAGTAGTTGCATCATGTTTAAAAACTGTGGAGAGCTCACAGTTGCCATGTTCTGTAATCCAGCAAACTGTCCTCTCATCTCAGAATTAAAACAGTGATACCAATTCTAAAAACCCTCTGGTCTATCACCTCCAAACAGTGGGAGAACAAAGATGACTTCACTCATATAGTAAAAGCCAGACATTTCTGGGTTGATCCTTGATTTGAGGAGTTGGACTTTTGACCATTACTCAAGCATTTTGCCAGTAAGTATGCAGGACAGCAAAGCACTCTGCATGGCAGGTCCTGCACCTGCAGAAAGCAGGAGGGCAGCATCACTACTGCTACGTCTTCATACCAGATTCCTCTGACTTAAGCAGCACCAGCTAAAAGGTTCAAACAAGGTATAGCAGCTGATTTAATAAGAAGGCAACTCCCTAGTGAGAGAGAACAACTGAGCTCCCAATACATTCAATACAGAAATGCTCCTTAATCACACCCAGCAGAGTTGTTTGCCTGAAGCATGAAGTATATGAATTCTCTCCAAGGACCCTAGGCTGAGTTACACAGAAATATGCAATTGTTTCATCAGGTCGTGCTCACTGCCACTGCACTAAAGAACACTCTGGTCTGTCCTACTGGTTACTCCCACGTCTGTTCAACCTACGCCAGCTGCTGTTTACATTCACTCTATGTAATCTCCTCAACAAAACCATAGATCCCTCTTCAAATTAACATATGTCCAACAGATATCTACATTCTTTTCCTTGTAATGCCAAGGTACAGTAACCCCATAGAAATGCTAGAAGCAGGTGTCAGTGCCAAAAAAGTAAGTTCACACATGGATTATATATTACAGGTACAGTTTGACAGAAATATACTTCCACAAAGAATTTTCAAAGCAAAGTGTGCTTTGTATTTATATATGGAGAACGATCAAGTATGAATAGCATTTCCAGTGATGCCACACAGGGCTGTCTTCATGAGGCACGATTCAATTAGCCCGTTCTTTGGTATTCTAAAAAGTACTATAGGAATGGAGTTTTCAGCCACACCGCAGCTATCAATTATTCATCAACAACCTACTGGGGATGAGCAAGAAGTGTAAGCTATAGGATCCTCACACAGGATCTCATGCACACATTATGTCCTCTGGGATGAATAAATACCACTATCAATAAAAACAACTTATCTGCTCGAGCTTGTTTTTTCACTTACCCCTCTGTTCTCTGGTTCAGGTCTCTGTCCTTGGGGTCGTGGTGGAGTTTTCTCTCTGCAGGAAGTTGTGAAATTAGCTCAAGTGCAAGGATACATGGCAATAATATCTGCAATAGCCTGGCTAATAAGACAGAACAAACACAGAGCATGCTCTCATGGGGCCATGCTGCAGCAGAGCTCAAAGTAGCATGTGAGTGAGTAGACCACCCAACTTATGAACCTTCAGCATCACATCGCTGAATGAAGATACTGCACTTTTGAATAATAAAGCCCCATTGCAAAGGCTAGAAACTGAGGACATGAGCATTTTGTACAAGCTTCTCCACTCAGATAACATTAATTGCAACCTGCCAATTGAACTGATAATAACACCTAATTCAAATTAAAATAAACTGCCAGTTAAACAAGAAATAAGGTGTGCAAACCCAGGCCCTGAAAAAGCCAGAAATATCAGTTCTATCTGTCTTCTGAAGAACTATTTCAAATTGTGAATCCAGCACTTCGACAGTTTCCTCTTAAGACCTTAAACTAAAGTTTCATATTTAGTTTTCACACAAAAATAGTTGTATTTAGGTTTCTTACCTGGGGTCCTGTTGCCCAGTGCTACCTCTTCCATACAGAGGAATAACTTTATCTCGACTGATTCCTGCTTTGCAAACAGGACATACTTGTCTGTTTGGCCTGGTCTCTAGCCACTAAAAGAAAGGAAGTTATAAGAAAACTAGTAAAAAACCCATGAAAACAACAACAACATGCAAACCACATTTGCAGCCAGGCAGAGAGACTTTATCAACTTCTCAGAAAGCCATGGAGCAAAACATTTTAATAAGTGCCAAGTACACTCCAAGGTAGAGTTGGCATTTTGACTATTGTTCTGGTACAATGCACTCACTGATGTGCATGCATTCACTACACTGGAGTAAAATATGAAGAAATAAACAGTACCAAAGTCCTGCATAGGCCAAGGGCTAGTGCAGATATTCTCCTTTCATCTGTCTTTTCTATAATGGTACCACAATGTAAAACACTACATATGCAAAGAGAAGTACATTCAGCACTTAAGCCTGCACAATAAATCCCTGTGAACTGCCTACAGTAATTCTCCTACCAAAACTGGGAATACTCAGTGTTTAAGAAACTCAAAAGTGGGAGGCAGGTGGAACAGAATCTAAGTTTTCTTTTCGCTGAAAGAGCAGATTGCAAGGTGTTGCACATGAAGTTGCTAGCAGGTTGCGATTGCCCTGGAGAGAAAGAAGCACATTTGAAAAGAGGGGGATACTCCAGAGAACCAAGGGCTTTATTGAGTAACAGGAGCTGATGAAAGACAAAGTAAAAGGAAATCTGTCTTACCTGGTGTAAACAAGGCCAACTGTGAGCATTCCCAGGACAATTTGTTCACAGAGCAGAAAAAGAGGGGAAAATAGAATTAGTTACTGACAACTCGATGAGACAAATGTATAAAGTGCACCACAGATAGCACAGCTTGCAGACAACAGAATCCTGGAATCCAGCTGGGCCAGTTTCATAACCTCCCATTAAAATAATTTTTGAAAGCACAGCCCAAGACCGATCTCCACTGGTCTTTTCAGGTTATGCAACCCATTGCTAACGTGATTCTCTGCATATGACCTTTGATTCCTGGGTCCTCATCCATATCCCGTACAGAGGCTTAATTAATCTTAGTGTTTACTGTACAGATTTTCTCTTCTGTTACCATCAAAAGATATCCCTGAGCTAAGATGCAAATGAGGAAGATGTCAGTAATGAGACTTCAGGATCTTAAAAGAAGTCATAGAAGGGACATTTAGCTAAAACATCATCCACACTCACAGAATCATGGAATAGTTCAAGCTGGACAGTACCTCAGGTGGCCTCTAGTCCAACCCGACACTCGAAGCAGGGTCAGCTATTGAGACCCAGTTGCTTAGGGCAGAGAAATTCCCATTATGCAGAACTACTCCAAAGATTAAATTAATATGGCAACTTAAAAAAGGTCAAAAACATACAAGCAAGCTATGAGATAAAACTGCTAAGCAGCCATCTGCTTTCAAAGGGGTCCTGACAACACTGTTCAGACAAGATACATGCATTTTTTCAAGGTTCCATTCTTCCAAATCCTTTTGTGCAATAATTTGATCTAATTTTATCTTAACATGCCATCAGCAAGTGATTTTCCATTTCTTCCTAGAATAAAACCCTGGATCTTCAGCTGTTACATACATTTACACAGAAAATAAATGTTCTTTGAGGCTTCTTTTGATTAAAAATCATAATTTAGCCTACTGTGCACAATAAACAAAAAAAAAAACCAAAACATTTGGTCATGTCAATCCTTAATAACTTCCTAACGTTCAAGAAAGAGTATATTCTAGACCAAGTTACCCAAATAAGAAATGCTGCATGCTTATTTTATTTGTGCGATGCATTCCCAAGTCAGATCAAAGAACTGAAAAGTTAGTATTACAACTGCAATACCATGGGAAAAGAGAAATAGCCCACGTGTAAAAGCTTGTTGGTTTTTTTTTATGGTTTCAAAGGAAAAAAAAGCAAGCTTGTAGAAAGTATGAAAACTACAATTTGGCCTCCAGAACCTAGTTTCTGATGGAGGTTTAGGTATGCACAGGTTAGAAAGGAATTTTGATCTGAACAAGATATCTATGCTAGACCGGACAGCACTAATAAACACACACATAATCAAACAGTATCAATGAACATTGAACTGTCTATGTGGGGCTGCTTGTTTGTTTGCTTTTACAAAATAATCCACAAGTACAGGAAGTTTAAGAGGCAAAAAACCCACTCCCTGGAACACAAGCAAAGAAGAACAGTTGAGGAGCAAACCCAAACTGCTCCTAAACCAAAACCATGGTCTTTACTCATTTTATGCGAGACACTTTATTTGACATCTGCAATTATAAAAATCATAGGCTTTTATGTGATCAGAAAGATATACAATGTTCTGGTTTATCTGGGGGGGTGGGGTTGAGTACTTACCAGAAGAGATGTCCACACAAGCTGATAACTGCATCCTTGGCAGTGTCTAAACAGATGTTACATTCAAAAGTGTTGTCCTGATTAGCGTTGTCCCCAGCACCATTACTGCTACTGCTGCCACTGGTCCCTCCAGTACTGGAGTTCTTTGTTGATGTAGAAGTTGTGGGTCCTTTGCTTGCCATCCTCAAGAGCTACCCAGACACAAGGTCAAGAAAATTTTCTTGTTGGAATCCTAGCAGTGAGAAAGGGAATATAAAAAAATCTAAACAACTTCTTGGCATTATAACATTGCATTCTTGTCCTGTTCCAAACTGGTCGTGATTTAGCTAAGAAGCACTTGAATCCTACTGTTGATGGTTTTAGTTTAACATAGCCAAGAGGGATCTTTTTTTAGAAACTAAGCTACTTTAAAGTCCTGTAGTATGACCTGGCTGATACGTGACCTGTATTTTAAAGTTACTGATAAGCAACTGAGATCCACAGCCAAATCAAAACCATCATATTCTCTCATAGCAAATGGCATTCATGAGAAGAATGAGCTCACCGAGTCATACATGCTCTTCCAAAAATTCAATGCAAGTTATAACTGTGAGTGCAATCTGAAATAGGATTTAATCATGAAGCAATTCACAGTTTGGACAGATTGGCTTAATGCATAGTTTTAAGTTCAATGTTCATTAGTTTGGAATATTAATGATAATAATGGCAAGCAAAGGTGGCTTAGTACTTGAGTTGTCTCATCAGCAGTATATTGCTGCTATCACAGCCATGTGTTGATATGACTATCAAACATTTCTAGTACTTTCAAAGTATCAAACATTTCTAATCTCGTAGTAATGCAAAAGTACTAAAAATTTTACTTTAATGTGCTTTAATTTTTCTTACACGCTTTTACATGTATTAACATAAGATTTCTCAAAGAGCACCATTTATTTCATTTCAGTAGCAACAACCTCCACAATCTAATTCCTTGATATGCAAATTCCACAGTATCTAAAACATTAAGACTCAGCACAAGGCACTTACATTTCTAGAAACAGGTACTTTTACCAGTACAAGATTTTTAATCCAAGAACTAAGAGAGTTTCAGCAGTTAAAGAAATTAATTCACCAAAACAAAAGCATTTAAAATATTCCACTGTGCTTTTCATGAAACTCTGACATCATGTTGCTGCTGCAGAGATATGAATACTTAGATAAGGTTGTGAGAAAGAAATGGGTGATTATCTGAACTTTTTGCAAGTGTACAAACAGTTAAGCGTTTTAAAAGGGCAACCTGAATTTTTCAGAAGCTAATGTCTTTGCAAACTTACCCCACAAGCATTAAAGGCTTTCCTTAGCGTTCCCTCTTTGTAGCAGCGCTGAAGCAGAGGTGCAGAGCAGCAAAATAAAACCTCAGTATCTTTAGCTGTTATTGTCAACAGCTCTTTTCATACAATACAATCCCACTGCACAGTCAAGTGCATCATACTCAAGCCTCATGAAGGTATTGCAGTGAAGACACTCAATTACAGCAAGTGAAATATATTTTTGCAGGGCTTTTTCACTCAGTTACATCATTTTGCACAGTGTCCCAGAAGGGCAGCTTTGTATTCACAGATGCTGTATTTTAACATGCACTGCTTTCAGCACTGCTGACTCGTAGCATTTCACACCATGACTTCATTTACACTCAGCAGCAAAAATTCACGTTAGTTCAAGGCAGATGGAAATGCTGCCAGCCCACAAACTATATGCTAAAGACACTTGGATTTTTCACACATCCTTACTACCAGAATCTTCAGCCTATCTTGCTCAGTAGTTTTATGCTTGAAAACTTACCAACTTGAACCTATATATTTGCTGGGAATTACTGTGAACATCAAGAAAACCTCCTTAAGACTAGGGAGTTCATTGTAAAAATTGTAAAAAATACTAGCATTGTTTTATGGAATGGGCACAAGAAATGTCTGGTTCTTATATCTTGGCATATAACACAAGGAAAACATGTAGAAGAGGCAAATAAATTAATTTCTGTGTCCCTAAACCCAATGTGGACAAATGAACAAAAAAGTCCTTTTTTCCCAATTACCTTCCATATATTTAACACCAGAAATCTGGAGATTCATCAAAAAGATAAAATCTATATCTTCACAAACGTCTACTTAAAAAGCCCTTAGCTTTCAGTAACTATGAAGAATAAATAAATCATTAAATTATGAAGAAGGATGGTATAAAATTCATAGGAATATCAGTAAAGTAATGGCATAAAGATGTCTGAGACAGAAAAAAGATCAAAATTACATAATGCAACAGGCACTGAATCTACTCCCCTAGAAGTTCATTCCTTAGTCTGTACAATTATTTCTCCAGAGGATGATTGGGCCTGATGACCCATTAGGATATAACCAATTTAAAACCTCAAAAATATATCAAACCACAACAATAAATATAATAAACCTTATTCTGAAAAGCCTTCTCAAATATTTGCTCTTGTCTGTAGAATACTGTTTAACTACCTAGGTCTATAACAAGGGCTGTTGGGGTCTGTCCACCTGCAAATCACGCTGCACATACAGAAAGAAGCAAGCATGAAACAGCACCCAATGACTAAACTTACATTTCATAATCATATGTCGTGTTGCTTGTGAGCATAATCTGTGAATCCTAAAGTAGAAGTTCAACTGCAAATTCAACTTGCCCTGTGTAGAACAAGCTCAAAATTGTTGAAATGTCACTTGAACTACTTAAACTGAAACAAAACTTTTGAGAGAAAAACAAAAAAAACACCAAACCACAAGCAAGCCACAAACTAAAAAAAAAAAAACAAAAACCCAAACCAACCAAACAAAAATCCAAACCAATTCCGTTTTGATTTAGAGTTCAGAAGTGTACTGCGAGTACACTGGGGCATAACTTGACTTTTGGGGTTAAGTAAACAGAATTTAGAGGTGCCAGTCCAGGTTTGCTAAACCCTTGTCCTTTAGATCAGGTCTCCAAATCAACCCTACACACATGATAAATAGCAAACAAAGCATGTGAAAGGATATAAAAATCAGCTGTGATCTAACTGCAAGCATTCAAAGATTTTCTCTTTTTTCTTTCTTGCTGCTTTGCTCTCTAGATATTTACAGGAAAACAGTATCTTTGTTACTTAAAAGCCATCTATATTAGCTGTTTACTTCCTTTAAATCATGACCCCTATGATATCCCAACAGGTTGTTCTGAAAATGACTGAATCACTGACATTTTACTACATCCAAGAACCAAGAGCGGCAACAGATGAATGGTGAAGAAACAAAGAACCCATTTTCAAGTAGTCTTCCTAAATAAAAAAAAGTCTGGTGAAGCATGAAGGCGACATGGAAGTGAAGATACATGTTTAGGGATCCAGCACAAATCCCACTGAGTTGCGTAAAGAATAAGCATGGCTGAAAGCGCTGGTGAAACTGGACCTCTGAGAAGCAGATGGCACACTGGGACCTGACAGCCTGATGACAACTTCAGAGCACAGGAGGTCCGTAACTGCAGGAAACTGGTAAGATCTATGTACTGTGTATAAATACTGCATATAAATCTCACTAACAGGCAATAGGAAAGAAATTTTACTGAAATACTTTAAAAACTATATCTATAAATCTAGTGGGAGAAACTGCACACCAGGAAAACGCAAGCCCAATTGCTACTGTAAAAGATCACATTTCTGAACTCAGCAAATTAAAAATTACTGCATTTGCCAAAGTACACTGACCTGACTCTAAAAATACAAGAGAAACACTTCAAGACAGACTGGAAGAGTTTCCACCATAAGTTAAAACATACAAAAAAATGAAAAATAATTGGAAACGTAGCAGGTGAACAATAATTTGACCTGAGAAAGACACAGAGAAAATACAAATAAAAAGCTAATGTCATCTGTATGAAACAGTTGTAGAATACATGTTCACAGCGCTATAACAGAATGTTTGAAGTATTTACTTTTTAATCTTCTTTCACGAGCAATGAGAAAAATTCCTGGTGAACATACAGGACTCTGGCTAGTTTATTAATAAAACCCGAAGATTATTCCTATTTGCGATAAATAATACATAACAATGAAATAAAAAGAAGAGCATTGGTGGATGTAAAATTCCACTAGAAAGACATTTTTTGATATAATATTCCCAATGAACCTTATTTTATCTAGAATTACTGAAATTGAAACAATCCAAATCTAGTTTGTTTCTAAACGTCTTGCTGTTTAAATCAAAAGGAAACACTTATCAGGTTATTTTTCTTATCACTACAGTGACAATATTATTTTTAGACACATATGACAAATTTTATAAACATTAGAAATTGTGTCTAAATGTAAAAATATTACTCAGAGTTTATATAAATATGCCCACTTATAAGTGTAACAAAAACCTGACTCAACCTATTACAATTGCCTGGATTTCAAGTAAAACTAAGAGGTAACCTTAGTTGGTAATTGTTGACAGTGCCTAGAAGAAAGTACGTTTACTTCTTGACAGTCATTTTGAGATATTCTTAGCAAATACATGACTGAAGTCCTACTGTTAATCATTAAATACACATTTATCTCTCACTACTTTTAGGCCATCTGTCCCCCAAACACGTTACATTTTAACACCTCAGAAACATTTTCCGAGTTCATCTTTTCACTCCTGTAACCCTTGCAGCATCACATACCTGCTTTTTAGTATTACCACAAAGTCATCCCAACGCACAAGTTTACGCGACCACTTGGTCTTGCAAAATCAGCCATTTGCCTTACAGACAAACGTGCCCTTGCTTGGCCTCGTTTCATTAATTGGGATTCTGCAACGTACGTCTGTGTTACAGTTGCTGCTTCCAGGATAAGAGCCCTGCTGAGAGGCTGCTTTGGCAGCTCTAAGGATTCCATATACCTCACAAATGCAAGGCATTGTTACAAACTATCAAAAAAGCAAGTGATTAAATTAGTTCCTTTTTTTTTTAACTATTCCGTAAAAGTATAATATAGACTCCAAGAAAGTGTTGCACAAATCTTTAGACAAAGATTTTATCCTCTTACCTCATAAAGTCCAAAGGAAAAAAAAAAAAAGAAAACTGATATAACCAGTTGGGTAATACTGCCTGAGCATTTTCCTGTTTTGGATTGTTATGTAAAACATTAAATGTCCTTTAATTGGGCTAACCAGGTTAGCAGCAAAATAGAAAA